GGCGAAATGAGAGTATTAAGGACGGCTTTAAATCTACGAGAGAATGTGAGGTCTATGATACTGTTAGATGGATAAAACCAAGGGGAGAATACCGAGGTAGCGGTCGGAAAGATCTGGGCACAATCTAATATACAATCGCAATCAGGATTTTCGGATTATCAGTAGTTTGGAATTGTAGAGATACTTGGAATTTAAAATTCCAAATTTTCGAAAAACTTAGCAAAGTGAAAAAGAAGCGGCAAAATTCGTTATTAAGATTGTTCAAACACGTTTAAACGCTTGTACATGTTTTCCACAAGTATATAAATTATATATTCACAGCCTAAGTTGGTTTCTTGCTTAGTATTTTAGTTCCTACAATTTTAAACAAGCATTATTATCAAAAACACACAGAAATATGCAAAATATTTATTACAAACTAATGTATTGATTACAATTACACAATAGATGTTCACGCATTTACGAAAAATTCGCAGAACGTACACAATCATAAATTACCGTTGAAACATTTAGCCCCTAAAAATTAATTTCTAACACACTTTTAAAATTATATTCACAAAGAACATAAATTTGCATCCATCGTCTAATGACAATAAATATTCAGAGGCTCTATAAACAGATCTCTTTCGTCGTTCTGTTCGTCACTTCTCCCCAAACCCAACCCAACCCCCTTTGTCCATCTTTATCTCAAACAAAAGAAACAAAAAGGAAGAAAATCGAAGTGCTTAATCGAAGCAAGGTGGCAAGGAAGAATCCATTGTTGTAATTCGTGTCTGTCTGGCAAAAGTTAGAAAATTATTCGAGGGGGCGCGGTTAAGATACGAGGTAATTAGTTGATGCACAGGGTGCGGCCCGGCGGAAGGGATGAAAGAGCACTGACCAGACGAGGTGAACACGCGGAAAAGGTGAAACGAAACCGATGACTCTCGCCTACATCGCTTATTCGTACGTCTAGATTGCCGCAAACTGATTGAACGTACCCAACGCCCGTTAATCTACCCTTCGAATGACGACACGCGATCAAACGGAGGCGCGCCCCTTATTTGCAACCGATTTAATGGCGAATCTGCCTCCTTTCGTCCGTTTCGTGTTAAACGACCGGGAGGGGATCGGCCTAGTTATTGACTACTGGTTGCCAATCGTTAGGAAGAATTGATCTCTGTGTACCGACAGATAGGGTGAATGAACAGGGTGCGGATTGACTTCTCGTTTCGGGTGATTTAGGGGCGAGACGTGAATTCATGGTGGCGGGCGACGTGTGGGCGGTTCCGTGGCTGGAAACTAGTCGAAATAATTAAACTTATTTGAATAAATATCTATGCCGATACTAATTAAATAATTATAAAATTAACAGGAACAGGAGTAGGGATAATTTTCGAAAAATAATTTTCGAAATGCGTGAAAATCTGCTTTTCTTTTTTAGATATATTATATATTTTTTATTCATGTCAGATCTTACTGTATTATTCGGACATTATTAATCTCGAGAAAGATTACATGGAGGAAATTTGCAATATAAATGGATCTTAATGAAGGGAGGGAAAATGGTTCTGGAAATGAGAAATAGATTTGCTCGATACTGTGAGCCAGAAGATACTTTGGATAGATTATCAGAAATATTTTGCATAGGTACTAAATTATGAAATTTCCCATAAATTCGTGGTATCTACGAAAATTATGTAATACCTACAACGTACACAATGCAATATCATGATCCTCTATAGCGTGATATTGAAAGGATAAGTATATATGATAGCAATCTCTAGCTAAAGCCATTATTACGCAAAGTCTACCTTACACAGGAGATTAAATTTTATAACAGAAGATTAAACGATTATGATTGATTAAAATTTCCATTTGTCAATTGAACGAGGTTTCGTCTCAAGTAAAAATGTAGAATGCAAATCAATTGTTCTGATTTCTCTATTTCAATGATATTGATATTGATATAAAACAGAACGTAATACAAAATACGTAATTAACGAAATAAAACGACGAAATAATACGATACAGGATATTTTTCCATTAAACGCGGATATCGCGTCAGAGTCAGCGATAATTTTAAATCTCATTCTTTTTCGAACGTATTGTTTGGTTACGTCAAATAGAGAATGTAAGGTAATAATCATTGGCCATAACAAGAATAGAATATCAACGAATAGCAAAACGTGGAACGCAAATAATTGTTCGTCAAATATAATTATCAATGAACGGCTCGCTTGTGCCTCGTACGTGAATGAGCTTTAAAGTTAAATTCTCCGTGAACAATACGAATGATTAAACACACGTCAGTTCGATACTCAAACAGTCGGCTGTTATTACGTTTCCCAGTGTAGATGGGAGTAAAAATTCAGATGAAACATTAAAGCAACAAGAGAATGAAAAAAAGAAGACACGTGAAATACAAAAATTGAACGATTTCAACTCTTTTTTATCGACAGTTATACAATTGTCACGTTACAAAATTTCACTTACTTAATTTTTTAATGGTAGAAAACTTCGTCAGAATCAATCGATATTCCGATCAAGTTAGCATGTTTTCTTGTACTATGATAGTTACCGATATTCGCTGCGAGTCAAACTTAAAAATAAAAATTTAACTGCAATCAATTTAATTCAATTTACAGGTCCGACGTCTCGATACAATATTCGCCTTCGTAGAATACACGAAACAATGATGATCCAGAGCGAACGTAGATCATTTACTTTCCTCCCCTTTCTTCCTATTTGCACGAACAAAAGCGGAAACGGGTGGAACGCTACGGGCGGAAGCAGAAAGAAAAACGTAGCCGCGGAAAGTTTCGCGAGAATTTCGACGAGAAAGGTGACAAACGAACGGGATCTCGCAGCCGCTTTCGCTCGGGAAACACGCGGATGAATATTTAATGAAAAAGTTTATCTACTTAGACCGTTTCGGTCGTTCGGGGCTTTAATTAACCGCCGGAAAGGCGAGATGTCTTTCGAGCTAATCAAATTACCGGATGAATGATTAATAAACTTCGGCCACGACGCGGTGCCGGATCGGTCTATGTTTAAATTCCGAGCCCTGCCAAATTTCGCGGGGGCCATTGAACCGCCGTGATTCATTCCAGAAATATCCACCTTCCGTCAACTTTCGATTCGAAAGGAAATTCGTTTTAACGCCGTCCTGCACGTACACGCCAACTTTAATCCTGATGTGATTGTCGATACGATGCTGCAACGTAATGAAAATAGCGCCGATAATATGACGTAGACATGAAATCATATGATAACTCTAGATTTAATGATCGATTCGGTCGCAATTATTTAGATATTCTTATAAAATAAATGGCAACTGCTGCACGATTTTCTTCGTTCACAATTTCAGAGAACTGTATTAATTTTTCGGAAGCTTCTTTCACCTTTCACTTCTCTCTCATATTTTAATATCGAGGGAAACATTAACAAAGAAATTAGTTATTTAATAAGTTCACTAGTCATTCAAGGTAGGTAGATTAACACAATTTTATCAATCTACAATAAATCATATTCTGAAGTATCTAAAAGACTCTGCTAAGAAACTTTTTTTTTTCTTATTTTGTAAAACGAGAAGCTCATAAAAGAGAGACTGACGCTTAAAGAAATATTCAAAAGCTTGAAAAAAAAAAAAAAGAAGAAGAAGAGAAGATCGAATGAAAGCGAGGAGACGGTGGAAAAAGCTTCTAATCCAGATCCCTGACTACAAAGTGAAACGCGGTTTCCCGAAAAGCAATCCTAATGCATTTTCCTCTTCTGGAAATTGTACTTGAAGAATCGCTCTGTCCTTTCGTCGAAACTACGTCCCCTTCCTTCCCCCTTTTCGCTCTCCTTTTCGCGAATCGGAAGAACCAACTCTTAAAAGGATGGAATATTTCCGAAGTTTGTCCCGAATTTCGTCTTCGACCGCGGGAATAAAATTCACGTCGGTGGGTTCGAGGGATGCGTCGACTTAACGACGACGCTCCGCGATGATGAAATTCTGTCGGCAGAAGCGTCGACAGAAGCGTATAATGAATCACGGGGGACACGCGCGAAATTCCATTTCGCCTTAAAAGCGCTTGGTAATCAGTTTGTTTTATTGGATTCTACCGGAAACGCGAAGCAGCGCGAAACACGGAGGATATTACGCTCGTGCTCGAAAGTCTTAGGGAGAGCCGTTACCTTCGCTTCGAGAATTTAACCATTCCGCGATGTATACGCTTCATCCGCGAAAGTACTCCACTATCTCGCCGAGAGAACATTTTTAGACGAATTTAGGGGATTTTTTGGTGCAAAGTTGAATCGATTTTTAACCGAAAGTGATCAGTGTGTTTGAAGAGGTAACACTTGCGCGAAAGGAGCTTAACAAATTTTAATTCAATTTAAAATACGCTGCGAGTGAATTAATGAAATGACTAAGAAATAAAAGCTCTCTCGCGGAAGGAATTTTTAGACAAATTCAGGGAATTTTGGTGCAAAGTTGAATCGATTTCTGATCAATCATAATTAGTCAGTGTATTCGAAAAGATAATATTGGCCACGCTCGTGCGATTTTAATTCTAATTTAACTTAAAATACGCAGCCGGTGAATTAATGAAATAACTGAAAAATAGAGAGAACAGTTTTAAACTAATTTAGGGAATTTTGGTGCAAAGTTGGATTGATTTATAGCCGGAAGTAGTCAGTGTGTTTGGAGAGATGGCATTAGCCACACCTGTACGAAAGAAATTTAACAAATTCTAATTTAATTTAAAATAAGCTGCGAGCGTAATTTAAAAATAATAAAATGACTGTAGAATAAAACTAACGACAAATATGCCAGCAGGTGTCTCAATAATTTTGGTCCACCACAATTATATCAATTCATAGTCTCTGGAATAAAATGTTGATCTTAGTCTTATTTATATAAAAATCGTTGAGCCGCTTTGGAAGAATATATGAAAATTTGCCAAAAAGTAAATCTGATATAAATATCGTACTTCGCACCAAAATTCTAGTCTTGTTAAAAATAGACGACTAACCTGATGGATGTTTGTATACGTAGCTCGCTAATAGGCTCAAAGGAACAGTGAACACGTGTGCGTTGCCATAGCAATTTGAAATTCTCTCAGTGAATTCACGTTGCCACTTTATTAATACATCGATGAAAAGCTGAACATTCGTGACTTCAATCCCACTGAACGTACGAAGATTGTTGAAACTCTGCAAATTATAAAAATATTGTATTATTATAGATTCGGTGTATTTGTGCGAAATAGAAAACAGTCAATATCGCAGATCAAATAATTAAAAAAAAAAAAGAAACAAACAACAGAGTTAAACATGATCGCTCTGGAGAACTAACTACACTACAGAGAGAAACGTAGAATTCTATTTCGAGCAATTTTTTATGCGACATATAAAAAAATATATCCGTCAACGAGAGAAAACGAAATCTATTTGTGAAAAATTCTGAAACTGAATGGAAACGCATACGCGAAACAACGCACACTTGAAAAGGATGTGGAAGAGACAGCGTGTATTTTGTAAAAATTTATGAAAAACGTTACAAAATAACATGCGAATAATCTTCGAGCAATAAAAACACGCACAAATGGGAAAGCTATGGTGAAAGTTTTCTCTGCTGGCTACGAAGCCAGCCGGAAACGATAACATTTTATTCGACAAATTCTGCTTGAAGTTAAAACAAGAAACAACTACATTTCGAGCAATGTGAATTATAAATAAATTTCACAGGTAACTACATATGATATATGAAATTTATTTATAATTCACATTCACAACTTGCACACCTAAAATAACTTTCAGATTATGCAATTTTTAATATCGTTAATAAAAAAAATATATATATAATTTGGAATAATATCATTGCTTCAAATGATGAGTTACTTGATCATTTCAATCATTTCGAAATTGACAAAGGAGTAATTCTAAAAATTCCATGGTGTGAACAATAAAGCAATATACAAATTATTAGATTGCTCGTTATTGGAAAATTTCAGTATGTAAAGTTGATACGCGAAACAATTTTCAAATTTCAACCATATTTCCAAAAATGAAATGAAAACATTGCATTTTCGCAATACCACGACATCCGACGAAGCGACGCTGTCTCTAAAGCGTCTGAAACAAAACGAACCAAGGTGATTTCAAGTCTGCCGAAACCTTGCCCCTCTCGTTAGACAAAAATTTCAATCTCTCCACTTCTCGCGCGTCTGCTTCTTTCGCAAAGGGATCTGAAAGTCGAGCAACTCTTTTGCATCGTCGGAGAACGCAACGAAGAGGACTAGCTATTTTCACAAATATGCACGCTCAGACGACTGCAAAGACCAGTAAGAAGTATTCCCCTTTGAAGTCCTCCCGAAAAGCAGCGAAAAATGCTGAAACTGACGAAATGCTTTCGCCGAACAAGGACCATGCGTTGAACTTGCCTCGATGTTTGACAAATAACTCCCCTGTAAACCGCTTCCTTTCTCCGTCTTTTCTACTACTCCCGTTCCCCTTCCACGCGAATTCAACAAAATTACCATTCGAAATTACATTGCCCCGCCGCTTTGTATGCGAAATGAGACGCGAAAGGACGCGCGTGCAATCCGAGCCAAATGACGCGAAAAGCAATTTTCTGCCAGGCTTTTCGATATATAACGCTGATATCGTTGGGTAAGGCTGATCGTTGTTTAATTGCACGGTATAATTAGCTGACTTATGTTAACTCGCACTCGGCTGTGTTTTAATCAGGTGATCATTTAGCTCGGCGGTGAATTTCGAGTACTGTATCTACTCTGTGATTTTAAATTTTTGTCAGTGTTCAAGCACATGTTCCATCGAAAATTCTATGGAAATTCTAGGGAAACTTTTGGAAAATCAGTTACATTATAGGAGAAATATACTGAGCAACGAAGAGGATTAAAGAAACTTTTAGAAAGTTACGTTAGTAAATTACTTGGGGCAATTTTTTATTTATCTACATCTGTACTGATGCACCAGCAGTATCAATTTCGAGGTTAAAAAAATTTTTTAAACTGCTGGTTGGAATATTACACGTACACTTGCACGTAGTGGTAGATTTATTACGTAATAAAGTTTTTCTAGGAACAGAAATTTAAAAAGGTAATTCCATAATACGATGAAACAAGAGTTCAGAGATAATTAAGGTTAAACTACGATAAGTGTATGTGTTAAAAACTCATTTTACAGAGATAAGAACAATGATAGAACTATAGTAGTAAAAGCTTACTGGAACTCAAAGGCTTACGGATTGAATGGTCATAAATTTCCGACGAAACGATAAGACGAAGACTTCGCTAGACACCGGATGACCCCATAAAACAAGCAACCAATATTTCTAACGCCCCATGAAAACGTGTTCTCGATAAATATGACATACGCAACCGAAGTGAATAAATTTCTATCCATTCCACGAAAACAAACTGAACACGAACGTGAAAATAAACTGGTGCCTCTTTCGATTTGCAAATTCACGGCGCGAGAATCCAATCCAAATACAAAGATCTTGCAATTTAGTTAAAGTGAAAATTTCGGTTTACAAACCAAGATAGTGTGATTCCAGATTTTTATTTAACATGGAAAACGTGGAGGTTCGTTCGTTTCGAGCCAAATGAACATTCGCTCGAATTTTCCGAAGTTACTGGTAATTAGATAATTTCTAAGCGACAGACAGAAAGAGAGAGAGAAGCAAGAAGATTTCGCGCTCGAAAAATACGTGGAAAATGGTGGAGAATGGCGGATCAAGGAGTGGAAAAGCTAGAACGCGATACGGTTATTTACCAAAATCCACGTCGATGGAGAGGTCGGTAAATAGCCACGGTGCGCAGCAAGAACGGCAAAAAGGTCGATTTAATCTGATTTCGTTTGCCTTTCGATGGGGGGAGGGAAAAAAGGCGCTATTAGTTTTCCGTGTTCCGTGAGCCGCTGCGTTTCCATGCTTGCGATTGTTCCCGCTCGGTTTTGGCAATAAACTATATCGAATGAAAAAGAAATAGGACGTCTGAATGGGAAAACCGGGAGGAAAGGAAACAAAACAGAAAGAAAATGGGTGGAAAGCTTACTGAAAAAAAGTTACGGCGGCGCAACGAAGCGCGGGGCAAACGTATAAACGAGCAATAATTGACAAAGGAAAAATTCGATCGTTGATTCACATTCTGTGCGTGATTTTTCTCAAATATTTGCTATAATATTTTCTAAACTGGAAATTTAATCTCAACTGAAAGACTGCATTTATAATGAGAAATCACAACGCAAAAAGCTTTCTTTCCATAGTAAATCTCTTTTGCGCTTAAACCTCCTCTTTTAATCTTAACTGAAGGATTACGTTCATAATGAGAAATCACAACGTAAAAGCTTTCTTCGTATAGTGAACTCTTTTTTAACGAAATTTTCGATATTTATAATACTACGATTGTGCAAACTTTAGTTAAAGCGTTTCTCGATGTATCTTTAATATCTTTCTTCGATAAATAAAATAAAATTCATAAGAATCTTCCTAGCAACAACCTATAGTACTATAGTACTTTTAACGCTATTCCTACAATATACCCGTTGTTCAAAGAATCAGAGAAGAATTTTCTCCATCTGCGATTGAAAAGTGCAATTAGAAAACCAAGGAAGGCAAAAGCCTCAACTCCCTCGGCGATACGAGAACGAAAAGTTTGCTCAAGTGTTTCTCAAAAATTCATGCAATCATCGACGAAGCTCGACGTTTCCTGCGTGCGCTGTTTGCTTGAATTACAAATTAATACCACGAAAAACGCGGCGAGCCCTTCCAGAACGACTTACGGCGTGCAATTAACGGGAGCATATCGAAACTCACAGTTCTCACGAGTCGTAATCACTTTTTCCAACTTTTTGTGAACCCTCGAGCATGGTTCTCTCCTTTTTAACGTGTGGCGCACTTTTGGGAAAAGCGGGAGTAGGAGTTGCCCGTCGAATCGCGATCGTTGAGATGAAATTTAAATTGGACAAGTTGTAACGTTAGGCCGTTTGATGAGAAATTTTCGTTTTATATTTCATTATACATTTTAATTGCACTTTGCGTTATCATCCCGTTTTATCGACGAAGGGAAGAAATGTATCGACAGGGAAATTTACGAGTAACGTAAAACAACGAGCGACAAAGTCCAAGTCGGTGTTTCAGTTTTGCAGAAAAATAAATATTCGAATATTTTTCGTCGAACTTTTTTCGCGTATTTAATTTGAGAGTGTTTTATTTTTTACAATGTAAACATATGGAAATTCCAAACAAAGGTACACAACACCCTAATCTATTTTTCATTTCTTTCTTCTTTTTTTTTTTTTTGCTTTTTTATCAAGAAAAATTCACCTCCATCCGACAAAGCGGTTTTTATATTTTTTGAAACCCACTTTGCCTGGGAAAACTGAATTAAACATTTCCGTCGAATTGCTAAAAGCGCGCGGACATAACACCGCCACACGACGCGACTCGATCGTCCATTTCGGAATGAATTTCAGCTCAAATGTCATGCTTGAGATGTCAGTCACGCGGAAACCATACATCAACCGCATTCTACGTTCGATGATGTTGCCAATTGGTTAACGTTCCACCGCGAAATTATGCTCTTTCGACTCGACGATTCGTACGAAAGTGATTTGCTGAAAAAAAATCGAGCCGAAAACTGGCTTGGAAAATGATGTTAAACGCTAAAGGAAGAAACTTGAATCTCGATCTTCTTTTCTTCGAATATTTTCCTTTTCTTTCGCTTTTATTTTTCGCCCGTATTTTCCGAAAAACGAACGTTACTAACTTTTACAGAACAGAGGCAAAGAAAGAAAAAAAAAAAAGGAAAAAAAAAGAGGAGAGTCCGTTTTTCGAGTTAAACGAATTTAGAAATCTAACGAACCGCGTATTTTTCGCGCCCTCTTCACGCCTCACTTTCGTGTTCGTTTAAATGTCACCATGGAAAACAACACCGTTGAATACGATACGATACATAACATGCAAGTGTCGTTTCGATTTTCTTTGGCAATTTGTTGAAATGCGATGGAACTTGCCATGTTTGCGCCGCGGTTAATGAAAATCGGACTGTGAATCAACGTGCTATGACGTTGTGATGAAATATTAAATCGATTACAAATAAAATATTTATCACTAGTGTTATTCTATTAGAATTCTTTCAATGACATTAACTATGCTCAAAGTCTACGGTACACTCGTACATTCTAAA